AGAATGATTCGTATTCCCTGCTTCCTGTTCTAAGGGATTTCTGACTTCCGCCAGATGTTGCCAAAAGTCCGATGTCCGTCAGGTGGCTCCAGTTCAGTAGAGATTTCATCTTTTGACCAAACAAAGCAAGCAATTTCCAGTTCTTCCAGGTTCTCGACCTCTGTTTCTAGGTCATCCACTGGAGCGGGCTGATTTAGGAGCTGTTCAGTGTTTGTTCAGCCCATCTCCTCCGAAGGCTGTTTGAATCTGGAAGATGCTCGTTGGACTTGCGGTTAGTGAGACAAGTTAGAGGCCAATGTTTGCCGCCATTGCTGATGCCGTATATCTGTGTGTACAGCGTCTTGCACTCCTTCTTCAAAGCCGATTGTCCCCTTGCTCTGCATTTCGAGATCCATCCAATGTCGCTTATCTCAGTGCTAACCAGATGTCGATTCTCCCGTATTTTTGACTCTTCAGGGTACTGTATGAGGTCTTGCTTGGCCAGGTCGTTTGTTCCTTGGCGACGAGTGACGGTTTTTGCTGTAGAACAAGTGTATTTGCTGCGGCATCGACAATACACTGTTTGAACTATAGGTGCAGCAAGTCTGAGTTCTGGCGGGTGATGTCCTTTGCTGCGATTAATCTGCTGTTTATCTCGTCTTGGAACGCCGCGGAAATTTCTGGATCTTTTCCCTTGCGGGGTCGAATCTGGCGTTGGCGCGTTTCCGTGCTGAAGGCGGAGCTTTGCGATTACTGTGAGGTGGTGCGAGCCAATGTCAGCTCCGCGTCGTGACCGGCTGTCGTGAGCGGCAGCTCGCTACTTCCTGCTGACCAATATGAGGCTCAGCTGACTCCTGGAGCGGTCACCTGACGTAGTCCATGTAAGCTGATGGATTTGACGGTGGGGAATCAGAGTACAGCCAATGACGAGGCCGGTCGTGGAACAAAAGCTTAAAAGCCGCCGACCTTTGTCATTCAACGTCCAGGAACCATGACGGCTCATCACAGGAGGACAGTTGAAATTGTCGGCGTTCGTTTTCCCGACGATGATCGGTAATTGATGGTGTGGAAGAGAACAGAGAACGGCGTGTAAACACGCGTAAAACTCGTTCTTCGTTTAATCGTCCGCCACATTGGTGGGGCGTACATAACAACAACGTTGCCTCTCACGTGCTTTGTTGCAAGACGGCAAACAAGCATCCGGTCGATCGTGAACTCGACGGAGTCCAGGGCA